TTTTTTTTTTTTTTTTTTTTTTTTAAGGAACTTCCTAATTCCAGAGGCTGGCATGCATGCTTCCTGGAACAGGAACAGGCCAGGCATCTCTCTTGCTGCAGGAGAGGGAGATGGTGGGGGAAATTTAAAGTGTCAATTTCGCACTTAACTTTTCTATTGGAAAGTGGAGATAGGCGGAGGCCGCACTGGAGAAGCGTTAATTGCTGAAATAGAGCGGGAGACACAACCTGGGCACTAAAATCTGATCAACTAATGGCACTTCTTACTCCCAGTGTAGGGATCATTTTAAAAATAATTGCTTAAAAATAATTGCTTAACTGACTAGTGCAAGAGTTATTTGCTTTTACAAAATTAGCGAATGAAACTATTTCCTTGTGCTGCGTGTTTGCTGGTGTTTAATACACTTGGTAAATCACTGAAGGGCACAGTGGGACCTCGCAGTGGGACTAAAAACAAATCCATAGGACTGCTGTGTGTTGGATCAGATGAAGATCATATTCTTTTAATTCTGCTCTGCAAAAACTACCTAGTATCAGCCACATACATAAGTGCTTCGGTCGTGGGGCTGAAACTTCAAACTGTTTTCAGTCTAATTCTTTCACTGCAACTGATTTTTCTTCATGGGTTTTGTTGTCCTAGAGGACATAATATTTAATGTGGTATGAAAATGCTTAATAATTTTCAGGGCAAGCTTGCTAAACTGACTTACTGCCAAGTAGCAACTGCCCTCCTAAGTTGTAGGGGACCTGCTAGATGGTGCTGTTCGATTTAAATACACATTCGTAACTAACAGCTGGAAATGTGGATTCTTCACGTGTAGATTATTTTATGCAAAACAGTGGAATGGTTTCTTTTTACACCATGAACTTGACAGATAAGAAGCTTCACGGTAGCATCTACTTGAAAATGAACGCAGCTGGGAATTCAGAAACATCCTATTCCCCCCTTTTCCTTTATCAAAACGAACCAAAGAAAAAAAAAGCATAAAGACTTGGTTTATGATGTGGAATACCATTATATAGACAACATTTCAGATTTTTATTGTATTACATCTATTAAAGTTGCTTCTTAGTAGATCATATCACATCCTGGCTATTTTCATATACTTTCTTTCTGACATCAAAAAAGCTGTGATTGCATTTTTTTTCCTGTAACTATACTGTTTTACAGCCATGCAAAGCTTGTCCCAAGATAATGGAGAGTTTTTGCTGTGCTCAAAAAAAAGGTTGCCTTCCAGTTAAATATCTCTACAAAAACATAGCTCCGACTTCTGCATGAGATTGTGTTACTTTGTAAACCACAGAGAAAAATATCTGTTGACTGACTCATTAAGTACTTACTTAATCAAAAAGAGAGGGATTATAATTATGTTTAGTTTCAGAGTTTTTTAGAACAGAATATGCAACTAAAGGCTAGTGTGTCTCCTCAAGCTTATAAGTGTCTAAAATTTGTAGCCAGTAACATATCTCCAAAATACACTTGCAATAACCAAGGAAATAATTTTTAAAAAATATTACACTACCTCAAGTTTTGTGCGGCCTGATTGTGTGGAACATGTTTATTCCCCATGAGGATGTGTGCCAGTGACAGGACTAGGGTGTGAAAAGAGTATTTATCAAGTGTGGAAAAGATGTGTGTTGTTCAGATGTTTGCAGTATTTACGTGATGTATTTTACAGAACAATGCAGTGCCAAGTATGTTTTGTAGTAGGTACATCTCGTCGTATTCTGCCTTTAGTTTATGTCCTTTGAGGTTATGTAATTGCCAATAAAATGAACCAAGTTTTGCCAGTCATTTATAGTAGCCCTTGGCAAACTTTCAGTTCCAACATGGCATTTGTTTTATGATCTTTGTCCCTTCTGCTTGGTCTCTGGGGCAAATTGTCTGTATTATGTAGTTTAAAAACCCGTGTGAAGTGTGGGTAGATGAATTTAGGGGAAAAAAAAAACCAAACTAATTCTTTGCCAGGGAGGTACAGCCACAGCACAGTTGGGGAGCACAAGAAATGAGGGTACACGATACCTGTGAGGCATGAACAGATGAAGAGACAAAAATCACAAGAGTCGTTGTGCCCCCTCCTCTCATTTGGTGCCTTAATTTTGGGCTCAGGCCTCCCTGGTGCATAAAGGATGGAATAGTTGTGTTAAACAGTAGTTCTTCAGCACTGTGAGGGCACCATATAAGACCATCTACATTGTTAAAGGAGAAAAGCCGTAAAAGTTTTCTATGCATCATCTTTTGTTATCTCTTCACAATAACTGGATATACTTTTTTATTTTTATTTTTTGTCCTTATTCCTTAAAATGGGACTGTTTCAGATTAGGAGCTTGGACCTGCTGACATTTCACTGAATGGTGAAACACTGTAAACTTCTAATCTTGGAGAAAGGAGGACCAGACTGTAGAGGTTCCATTTGCAAATGCAACTCTCTGTTTATATATAAATATTTTAATTTGAAAATATATGTGCAGAAAAGTAGTTGAACATATAAGGCAAAACTAAATTCTGACTGGATTCTGTGTTCTCAGTTGTTTTGATCTTACAGTGGTCTTTTAAACTAGTTCTTTTCCCAGGATGCCCTTAACCCTATTGGGGCTCAGCAGATTTTGGTAAAAAGAATAAAAGAATGACTAGAGACTGCGATTTAATTGCTTATAAAAGGAGGTGGGATCAAAATGTTGGTTCTCCTTAGATCTATTTTGGGTGGTTAGCTATTTGGACATACAGCTCCTTTATGTGAGTGATGTTGTTGTTAGGGAGGGTGTTACATGGTTTTTGGTTGTTTTTTTTTTTTCCCCCTTCAGATTGGGCAAGACTGCATAGCATGAGTTTACATATAGTTAACTTACTTTTTCTCACTAATGTTTGTAGGCTACAAAAAAAAAGTAAGGTACAGATAAAAATTAAGTGTTAAATTTGTTGCTCTTCTCTAGGAAATGGTGAGCATCAGGTTCAGATGCTAAAAGATACATTATCTCTCCCCCCCCCCCGTTTGAAAACAAAACTGGTAGTTTAATCCAGCCTATTTTAGAAAGTTTGGGTTTGACATTTATACCATGATTTCATCCATCAAGTCTAACTTGTGAAAGTTGCAGTTGTACTGGTCAGGGGGTCTATGAACAGAACATTTCTTGTCATTTTAGAGAAATACACTTTTTAATGAAGTGCACAGAAGGGAAGGTTCTGGAAATAGGAATTATTTGTCAGTATTTATTGTTGACCATAGTGCTTCTGGTGCTCCCTTACAGTGCACAGGTGTCTTGGGCAGCACGTGATGGTGTTTCAGGTAATGTATGTGCTGTAGTTCAGACCGCTGACAGTAATGGCCTTTGCCCTGGAGATCAAACAGTACACAGAAACTATTAATTCTGCTTAAATATTAAAGTAGCCAAAAAAGATTTTCATAACTTTGGCAAACTTCTACTGTTTATGGGGAATATTTATAATGGCATACCTGAGCCTCGTTCTAACTTATTTAATTTGTGTGTAAAAGTTCTGTTGAAATGTGGCTCGCTTTGAGAATTAGGCAGAGAAAAAACGTGTTTCCCAATGCTTTAAAAGTTTTTGCAACTTTTACCATGTGCCCCTCTCCTTGATGTGTAGTTGAAAAAGAATGAGGGATTTGATTCCAGGGATGTGTCTTTCTTCCGTTTGCATGACAAAGCATCTGTATTTAGCCAGGATACAAGCCTTTTCAAAAAGATGCATTTGCATATGCTTAGGTTTTACTAACTGTAATCTCTGAATATTTCATCTTTCCTGAGAGCACAGCAGATACCAGGATCAGAGTGGAGAAAAACTGGGACTGGGTAGATACTGGGATCAGAGGGAAGAAAAATTGGGAGTGGGCAGATACTGGGATTACAGGGGAGCAGAATTGGGACTGAGCAGATCCCAGAGTCAGAGGAGAGAAGAATTGGGAGTGGGCAGATCCTGGGATCAGAGGGGAGAAAAACTGAGACTGGGCATGCTGGTGGTAAGGAAAGTGTAAATATGAGCAATTGGAGGCTGCAGCTGTGAGATGCC